CATGTACTCCCTTATCGACTCCCCTTGCCTTTGGCGAATGCCGAGTAGGTGTTGTTGCGTCTTCGGCTCCTCGTAGGTGCCTCGAAAGTTAAGGAAAAAAACATCGCGCAATTGCTCCCATGAGTAAATGCTATTGGCTGGTAAATTGAAATACCAAGAACGGCCGATGCCGTCTAGAGCGAGATGTATTACCTTCGCTTTGGTAGTTTCGTCACCATGAGCCGCTTCGATCGCTGACTCGTAGATGGAGAGGAACTCCTTCGGGTCAGTTTCGCCTGAATAGCGCGGGACGGGTGGGAACTTGAACTGGGGTGGAATTGGACGAGTCTTGATTCCCCCACTTAGCGGTAGCCCCTTTTCGCCTCCCGCCCTGTTTACCGCACCCTGCTGCGGGTACGGTGTGGCGAAGGGCGAAATCGCAGCTTGTGCGCAAGGTTGGGCCATAGCATTCGGCTGCCCGGCTCCAACTGGAGGTACTTGCTGAGCCGCCATGGATGGGTCAAAAATTGGCTGTGACCACGTCATGGTAGCTTGGATTGGTGCTTGGTTTGTTCCGAAGCCTGGAGTTGGAGCTTGCTGCTGAACGGTTGGCGCCTGAGCAGCGTTGACGAAGTCGAACTGCGGTCCTTGATTCCACAGCGAAACTCCCAGGCCCGGCTGAATCGGTGGCAACCAATTAGGCGCACCTTGACTTGTATTCCCCTCCGGGTGGGCCGATGGGGTTGTACTTGAAATGCAGTGGGGTTGGTTGAGTTGCTGAAGGAAAGCTTGGAGTTGCGCCTGCAGAGCCGAAGCCCCTTCCACCATTGTTTGTGGCGCTTGGCCGGGTGGTTGATGGTGTACTTGGGCAGCGACTGCGGCCGATTGCTACCCGGCGAAGTACATTGGCGCTTGTGCGACTTGAGGTGGAAAGGGCTGGGTCGTCACTTGCGGATGGACTTGAGGCGGGACATAACCTGCCGAATACTGAAGGATTGGAGCCGACGTGACCTTGGTCCGCCTTGCCGCCTCGTATGCTTGTTGTTGTTCTTGCATTTGGCGAAGCATGTCTTGGAGCCGTGCCATGTTTTGTCGCATGGCTTCTATGTCGGCTTCGGCTTGTGTTTCGGGGTCAGGGCTGACTTGGGCCTGCACAGCGGCGAGCGCAGTCGGGGCCGCTGCCGGCTGCGATGGAGCGGCTTGGGGCACCACCAGTTGGCTTGTCGAAAGGATCTCCGCCCTGGTCTGGAGTGCCCTTGCCACCGCAGCCGCCTTCGCCACGTCGGCCGCGTTCGGCACTTGCACAGAGGTGGCGGGGGCCGAAGGCGGTTGTGATGGCGCAGATGTGGAAGCGAATGGTCCTCCTCCATCTTCGGCCACGGGCACCGAAGGCTCTGCTCCCTCCTCGGCGGCCATGTCCGGTGCGGCGTTGCTTTCCTTCCGCCTTGCAACCTTCTCCTTCATGACCTTCTTCGGTGGCATTCCCTCTCAGTGGTTTCGCTCGGAGGTCCCCACGGTCGGCGCCAGCTGTTGTCGGAATGACAACTGCATACGTCGAAAGACGTGGTTACTCAACAGTGGTAGGAAGAAGACGAAGTGTATTAAATTTTGAGTTTCCCTTCTTTTTTCTCCCCCCATTACATGGCCCTAGGGGACTATTTTATAGCCCCATTACAGGTTCTTACTACTAGGGTTTAGGTTATATAGGGGAATTTACATGATTACCCTTATGAAAGGGACATTTACAGGGGTACATGATGATATAGGGGCTCATGGGCCCCTGATGGGCTGTCTGGCGATCGCCGGCCCTATTGCCCCTAGGCTTGATGGGCTGGAAAGGCTTTTTTGGCCCTCGCGGAGGCGAACTTGCCAAGGCGAAGTCATCTTCCTTTGGCAGATAGTCTTCACCTTGCACCCTTTGCCTGAGACGCCTCTGGCCTGGCAAGGCACTCGCACGACTCTTCGCCTCACGCCGTTCTTGCTCCACAGTCTTCGCCATGGGTTTCGGCAGATTTGGTCGAAGGGCCTCATGCCATCCGCCAACACATTAGAAGAGCCCTATTTGGTAAACTACATTAACATTAGAGAGGGACATATACCACATTTGGGTCCATCATGTGTGGACTAAGAATTCTTAACTACTATTCTTAGTATATCTCATTTAGGGTCATTTTTTAAAGAGTAAAGTGCACGGGTGGTCCTTAAACTTGTAGAGGTGTGTCATCTAGATCCCTAAACTCTCAAAATGCATATTCAAGTCCCAGAACTTGTCATAGTGTGTCATCTAAGTCCCAAATCGCCACAGCCCCTTCAAGTTCCTACGTGGCACTGATGTGGCATGCCACACGAACATGATATGTCATCATTTTGACTGACAAATAGGACTCATTTAATTTTTTTTCTTTTTTTCTTATCTTTTTCTTCTCTTTCTTTTTTCCTTTCTTCTCCTTTCTCTGTGACCCGAGCAAAAGAAAGGGAAAAAATAAGAATGAGAAGAAAACAAAAAAGAAAAGAAGAAAAAAAGGACACGTCGCGTCCATGTGGCATGCCACATTGGCGCCACGTAGGATCCTAGAGGGGCTGTGTTGATTTGGGACCTAGATGATACACTTTGACAAGTTCTGGGATCTGGATCAGCATTTTGAGAGTTTGGGGACCTAGATGACACAACCCTACAAGTTTAAGGACCGCCTGTGCACTTTACTCTTTTTTAAAGGCATCATTTCATAGACCCTCTTACGCACAGAGAGTGACAGATATTTAAACAAATTTGGCCCTTAGGAGAAATTTGAGATTATGCCTATTATCGATTAATATCCTGACAACAGTATCATGAATACCTAAGGTCGTTCATGTCAAGGATTCCTAAACCCACATATCCAAAAAAAAAAAAAAGCCGAATGTTTTTTTATTGGTCCAAGCCACCCTACATCATTTTTTTTTCTAATAGGAACTCTCCACCATATTTTGCTTTGTATATATGTGGATGTGTACATGATACAAGATATATGGAGGGGAAGCTCTAGTCTAAATCTAAGAAACTGTCTCGTCGGGATCCTCAAATTAGAAACTAGTAGCTAGTTGTGTCATGATCGGCGACTTGGTTTCTTGGCACCAGTTGTCTTGTTTAGGCTTGTGTTGGCTTTTCGCCACTTGGGTTGGCTTGAACTGATCTCAATAGGTTTGCCTTGGGTCTGCCTACACCAAGGTTCCTAGGTTCCCCCTTGTCCTAGAAGGACATATAACTTGATTTGGATATTACCTTGAGCAGTACTGGTTGGCCCTAAGTAGGATAATGTCTTTCTTTCCTAGCTGGAGGACTCTTTCCATATCAGCTCAAGACTATCCTTATCTTGGAATTGTTTCCATAGAGGAGTTAGTCGTGGTATTTCTGGAATGGTACGTGCATATATGGTATCCTATATTTAGTACACCAACAATGGCATAAAAAGAGGGTTTCACTAGAATGCAATCTCTTAACTGGGATCGATCTCAACACCGAGTTGGTTGGGCTCGAATCGATCGTGCCACACTAACCCATCAGCTCCTCCACATTGCATCGCCGCGCCAGCCTGGGCACCCATATGATATTTTGATGGACATATTTCAACGGCTGCAGCTGTGCGCTGCAGCTTGGACCACCAGCAAAGGGCGCGGTTGACAGCTCAATGCAAGCACGACTGAACATGGGTTTAGATTGATCCTGCTTAGTTCAGCATAGCCCCAAGGGCATTTTGGTCCCTTTACTACGTGAGAAAGGGAAAAAAACACTAATAGGAATTTGAGAATGGCATTCTAGTGCGCATCCTCTATTTGAGAATGGCATTTTTGCAAAGCTTAATTGAGGTCTGGAATTTTGGCGAAACCTGTTTTCGATGATTGAATAATTTGAAAATTTTCCCTTGAGGGTAATAGCCCTATGTCATGCTCAGTTTGTATATACTTGAACATATATAATACAATATTTGGATGGGGAGCTCTTGTCTAGACCTAATAGACTATCTTGCTGGGGTCAACAATCAGGGTGTTTTCGTAAAGCTCTCATGGTCATTAACGAAATAAAATTATATATTCAACCGAAGGACTTCAACTTCTATGCAACACTTGTCCAACATGAATATCAAAGAAGACAACTTCTCTTCTCTAATCTGCTTTCTTCTTCATCTGCTTGATTGCTCGGCAAGGGCGCAAGGCATAACTAGAGCCTAACCAGCTTGGTCCCGTGGTGAGCAGCATCATTCTCATGGACGGATGCCGGGAGAGTGTGAGGTTGAGACTGTGCTAAGCTGCTGCTATTGATTATTGATTATCAGTAAGGGAGATTGAAAGTAACAGAAGCAATAACTAACCATTCTAACAGTTCACCATTAGTCACCATCTAATTGTATCCTAGCAGGCGTTCCTGGAAGTGGCCTGACATTGGCAGGTGCCACCACATCCACGGTGGTCATGTCTAGCTCTGTCTTGCCGAGCGGAGGAAGAATATATTGGGGGATTAGAGAGAAGAGAGAGGTTGCCTACTTTGATATTCGTATTGGTCACATGTAGCACAGGGGGGCAAAGCCCTTCAGATGAAGGAAGGACTTCAGTCATGTATAATTTTCTATTGTCATTAACTCAAGTTCTTGTGAGTTGTTTGGCTTGATTGGCTTGACTCACATGGCCTTGTGGCCTCTCTATATTTCTATCATTGTGCTTCCCCATATTTGTTTTGTTTCATAAATTAATTTGTTCACGTCACATTATATACAGTTGTATAGCATTACATTTTCCCATAGTAGTGCTGTCAAAGTTACGCGATTTCCCTGTATCCACCAATAGACTTCACAGATAACAATCTAAAACAGGTTGTCAATACTAGTACCACCAAAATAAGCACGAAATAAATATATTTTGATAAGTGGAAATAAATCCAGCAAAATGCCAGGTTGTACTTTGTTTCTACTATAGCTCCTAGTGGGAACGCGTTCGTCCAACTCTCCTATATATCACAACACCATGGACATCAAATTCGCACTAATCCTCCCCCTTCATCCCGTGTCACAAAGCCACAAAGAAGTTTAGCAGGTCCTCCATGGCAGCCTCTCTGCCACTGTCAGCTGCCATCGTTGGAGCCGAAGAGTCGGTTGACAAGGAGGTCTTGGAGATGGAGTACCTCTTTGAGAAGTTTTTGATGCCAAGTGACTTGTGCAGCAATACTGAATGGCTTGGGATCCCAGAAGAACATGTTAGGAAATTTGGCATGATGTTGGAGGACAGGGACGGTTACTCCGTCATTTTCTTTCAGGACGGTGTGGTGCCTGGGAAGTTGTGGTGCTTTAGGTACTGGAAAAGCAATGGAGTCCATGGCTTGACCAAGGGCTGGAGGTGCTTTGTTAGGGAGAAGGGCCTCAAAGCCGGAGACACCATCTCCTTCTTCCGAGGATCTGCATGTGGCCGTCTCTTCATCTGCTGCAGGTTAGGCACCCATGCAACCTTTGCGTCATCCTCCACCTTGCATCATGGCTTTTCTATGCCCCCACCACCTGCCCGCCCGCTGGTGGGTCTTCAATCTGGCATGTTGGCAAGAGATGTCCCATCATTAGGACAAGCTAGGTTGCATGATGGAAATCAAGATGGAGGCGGTGCACCATCAAGACATGTTCCATCCTCAGGACGACGTGTGGAGGCACAGCTATCACGTGTGTCGTCGCGCCGTCAACGCCGTACTATGAAGCACTCGATACCAGAGCCCACGATAGAGACGCCACCAATTCTTGAGTCGATGTTCCTCATAGCCGCACCACCGGCAGTGAAGTGCTTACGGCTTTTTGGCGTCAACATCTATGTGTTGCCTGTGTCCTCTAGTGGCCAGCCAAAACAAGAATCCAGCCCATAATACCAGGCACCATAATTATGGACACCCCATTGAAGAGGATCAGAGCGTGTTGGAGGCGACAAATGTTCCTCAATTGTATCGTTTGGTTCTACATCATTCTTAGATCATTGTGGTTTCAATTATTGTAATTCTTAGTTTGTTATGATTGGTTTTCTATTGGCAATTATTGTCTTTTTGGCAGTTATTTTAGCATAAGAAATTATTTTGTACCATCTTCATTTATTAATTTCTTTTGTTTCATTCCCATCATGTTTGGGGTATTTGAATACTTTAACTTCCCTACTATCCATTTTCTTAATATATAAAAAGTAATCCTATCATTAATCATAGTAATTAAGCAATATCGGGCCAATTACTGTATTCCTTTTTTGGCATAATATTCAACAAAATGTATGGTTGCTTTTCATATTTCTACATTATTGCAAATTGGATCAATTCATCATTGCTCCTTATGATTTAATGTTGTTTGATATTTGTGCACACAGATACAAAGTGTATGACTACATGGTGGTGGCTTCCCCAAACTAGATAACAATATATAAATCTATTTGAACTCCAACTTCTTGTCCCGTGGTACCCTTGCCTATCCCACCAAGCGATGCCGCTTAACTCTTTCTAGTAATCACGCACTTTCTAACTACTACAAGAACAGAACCATGGGTCACTACCACAAAACATCTAAGGTTTCCATTTTACACCACCTATAAACATACTTATAAACATAAAAGGAAATCAACTGTTTATAATTAGGGGTACAACCTATCGTCCAAATAAAGAATAGTCAAGCGTTTTGGTCGGTTCCCTAAGAACTATTTCATCAATGGAAAAATGAAGTGTGAGGTGATTCAATATCAGGTGAACTGCTGGTCAAGAGGAGTGGAATGACATGTGGGATCACAAATATGGAATGAGGCAACAACGCTGGATGGTATGGTGTGTTCGCCATACAAAAACGATGTCTAAACTGTATTATATGACAAAAAAAAAACTTGGTCTTTAAGAATTATCATACCGTTGGGTTCATTCCATTCAATGTCAAATGGAAAATTACTCAATAGCTCATATGGTTTAATGCCAAAAAAAAATTGGCAGGCTGTTGGTATTTCTTACGATCACAGATAAATCCGCAAGCGCACGAAACACCGTTGTAGTACTTCCCCTTAGAGTATTCCAACCGTATCGAACACGAGGAACATGTGTGTATTATCTACTGCCAAGATTCGATTGAAGGACAACAACCCAAGATAAATTAGCTAGAGAGGATTCCTATGTCTTTTAGTTAGTTACTTAAGTTACTTAAAGGTAAGACTCTAACAAATATTCGGGAACCGGCCCTCCCCTGGTCTACTAGGATAAGTCCGGGCTTGAGCTCTATGATGTACCTGAACGTGGATGAATACAGAGGATAAACTTGGCTGTCACCACCTGCCCCCTACCTCACTTTCCGTGGGCACACAACAAACGAAGGTAATTTCTAACCTAGACACCACACCTAAGTTATTAATTACTACTCTAGCCTTGCACGGGAACTTCCTTCTTTATCCAGAGTTCTAATACTAGAGCACTCAAGTGCACACTAAGCGATGAACCCGCACCGATAAAAATGTATCACTTAAATAAACTAATTAAATAACATAAAGAAACTCGAATACTTAATTAAATAATGGAAGCATCCGACAAGGTACAAGCGATAGAGCAAAGGCGACAATCCCGTCATCTATCAAATTGCCAAAATTTCAGTTGTCACGTCATCTATCAGATGGGCCATACTAGTATCAGAAATTTCCTCAGAAAACTATGACACCACATTATCCATTGTTTACCTTTTATTACCACAGGATTGTCCATTAGTTACTCTCTCTGTTCCTTTATGTTAATCACCAAGCAATATTCATATTCAAACTTCCACCATTCGTCTTCTTTACAGAAAAAATCTAAATACTTAAATAGACCAAATTAATACGACTTAACTAGCCATATAGCAGCCTTGTACTTAGGCTGAGTTTGAAGGAGTATTTGGGCGGAATTTTGTCCTCATTTACCTTGAGCACACTTTCAAAAATACTAAATGGTGTTTTTCATATAAAAATTGTCTATATAAAAGTTTGTTTAAGAAATTATATTAATACATTTTCCAAGTTTGCATGTCACAGCTAGCATTTCCATTGGCACGTCTAGCATGAGAAGGAGCTTAATCGGGGGGAGGTGCGCAGTAAATTCGCCACATTCAACAGAAATAGGCAAATAGCTACGCCATCAAGAGAATCCGAAATTAAACTTCTATGATCGTCTGGCATTTGTGTTCTCCTTATTTACGCCCTGCCTTAAAATAATTTTCATGCATATCACGTACGCTATCTACAGTTGTCCGGCATTAAGGTTTTCCACGGTAGTAGTCCAAAATCACGCATTTTTCCTGGAGTCCTGAAGAGGATTATTTACAGTTGACAATCGTGCATATGCCAATGTGAATGACTAGTGCTGCCAAAATAAGAGAGAAATGAACATGTCCTGATAAATAAGTAGTAGATAATAAGCCAGCAGTAATCTCACGATTACTAGCTCCAGCAAAATGCCAGGCTTGCACTCCATATTTGCACTGTAGCCTCCAGTGGGAATGCATTTCATTCCTAAACCCCAATTAAAAAAAAAAAAAAAAGGTGCTTGGACCTCCCCTATATATGTGCCCGTACCATGGGCCTCAAACACTTGACCTGCTCCTTCGATCGTCCAATCCTACGAAACCACAGAGAGAATCTCAGAGCGGAGTACTCCGATCCATGGCGGCTTCTCCGCCACTGCCTACTTCCATCGATGGTGGTCAAGTGCTAGATGACATGGAGGTCGTGGAGATGAAGTACCTGTTTGGCAAGGTCCTGATGCCAAGCGACGTGTCCTGGGACACCGAACAGCTCGTGATCCCGGACGAGCACGTCGGGAAACTACTGGACATGGTGGTGATGAACCGGCCGGAAGGGGGCTTCTTCGTCGTCGTCGTCGAGGATGGCGAGGTGACTGGGAAGCTGTGGCTTTTCAGGTACTGGAAACGCGACGACGTCCACTGCCTCACCAAGGGCTGGGGTTGCTACGCCAGGGAGAAGGGCCTCAGAGCCGGAGACACCGTCTCCTTCTTCCACAGCACCGCGTGCGGTCGCTTCTTCATCTGCTGCAGGTGCACCTGCATGAGTTTCTTGTCACTACCCACAACATCGCATCGCATTCACGGCTCGTCTGTACTGCCGCAACCGCGGGCTGCCCAGGAGGCGCACCATCCATTCTCAGGACACGCCACATTGTGTCTCGGCAACAAAGCTAGTGATCACAGCGCGCCGGCAAGGCATGCCACTGCCTCCTTAGGGTGTGCGGCGGCGCAGCCTCCGCAGGTGCCGCCGACGCCGACGCCGCGTCGTCGACGGCGCAGTATGATGGTTCACCCAGAACCACCGGAGCACACAACGGACGGCATGCCTGTGATTCTCGAGTCGATGGCACTCGTATCCACCCCGCCCGTGGCGAAACGCGTGCGCCTTTTTGGAGTCTACATCGACGTTCCTCCACTGCGCCCAGGCGGCGAGGCAACACAAGATTTCAACCCATGATGATGGCGTGCCATCCGTGGACAGGAACGCCCTCAAGAGGAGGCGAGCTGCTGCGGACAATTAACGCCTCCTGATCGAATTGTATCGTTTAGATTGCAAGTTCTGCGTCATTCTCGCGGCTTTGATTATTGAATTCTTAATTTGTTAGGACTTTGGCTCCTGAACAATTCTTTGGTGAATATTATGTTTTTTGGCAACATGTATGGCAGCAGAAATGTTTTTCATCATCTTTTATATTAAAATTTTGTTTCATTCTTCCATGCAGGTCAATGGTGTTCAAATACTTTAACTTTCCCAATTTCCATTTCCAAATCAGTAGCTTCTTTTTAAAAAAAAAAACTAAAACACTAATTTCTTGGTCATATAAGTATAATCCTTTCATGAAACCCGATAATTATTACAATTAGCTGCCCAATTAGTGCATTCCGTTCGAGATATGAACAAATTCAAGGTTTTCTTTTCACATTTCTACATTATTGCAATTGAATCGATTCATACAGACATAATGTTGTTCGGTATTCGTTCATATACACACAAAGACGATGTTTTCCTGTATATATGTCATGGTATTTCCATTCCGGATACATGGTGATGGGTCCCCCACGTAACAGTGAATCTAGCTAGTACAACTCCAAGTGATAAGGCACCATTTCATTCGACTTAGCTGATCTACTCTCTTGTTTTCAGTTTCTTGTGAGCACACTCTTCGAAGTGCTAAATGTTGTATTTGTTTTAAAAACTTTCTTTTGTAGAAGTTTCTTTCTAAAAAAATAAAATAAAATATTTATTTAAATTTATAATACTTAATTAATCATGTACTAAGGATATGCTTTGTTTCACGTGTGGCTGATTAGGCAGCCTATATAACTCTGCCAAACTCGACCTAATCTACTTGTCTTGCTTGTCCCGTGAAGAGAATCTCTCTAGCTCTTTCTAATTCATATACTCCTCCCGTCCTAAAATATAATAACTTTTAGCCATTAAAATTTTTCCCAAAATATAATAATTTCTCCACTAACATTCTCTTTCTAACCAATCACAACCCTCCACCATTCACTTTTCCTAACTACCTCCACTACTCAACCAATCACAACCCTCTATCATTCATTTCTACCTACTTTCTTGATAACCGTGTCCACCTCTAAAAATACTTATATTATGGAACGGAGGAACGTAGTAGTATTTATGCCCTTCCTAATTTGTGGTGATGAAGGCCATGGGCATAGGCGGCCCTACCAGATCAACCGGCCTTGTGACTCGTGCCACTGGAAGACAACCATTAAAGAGGAGCAGATGGGCAACCAGCCATCCATCTTGTAGGTGCAGCCAATGTGAACGTGTCCCGATAGCCCAGCAGCCCATTAGGCCCCATCTACAGTTCTACACTCTCTCCACCTTATCTCTAGTCTTCCTAGCGTTATATTGAGCGCGAACTACGGAATGAGCGGCCCTTCGGCTTTGGCGATGGGAGCAGGAGTGGGCTACACGTTGACGATGGCATCGCAACGACGGCCTCTCCCCGGTGAGCTCCCTCCGCTCTCCCTCCAGTGCGAAGTCTAGATCGAGGTCAGCTTCGATTCCTTGCCTCCTCTGCCACTGGCGCAACCCCGCCCGGTCGGCCTCCACCCACTCCCCTTCGTCTTGCTTTGCCCCCGCCACCACCAGCTATCGATCCTACAACTCCGGCGGCGCCACCGCCGCCTCGCCACCTGCCTTTGTCCGCCTCCCACCAACGGTTCATCACCTCATAGGCCATCCCCCTAAACCCGATGCCCCACTTCCCCCTTCCCATTGCCACCCTCCTCTCACTTGATCAAGACATGGTCCCGATCTCCCGGTAGGTATCAATAAGTCGATTGAGGATAACTCAACGCGGGTGATCTAAAGGCTCCGACCTGAATTATTGAACCCCTCATAATCACTACACCACTGCTCTGTTGGTTATCAATTGTGCCGAAACACATTAGAACCCACCAAGAAGGCTATTTCCTAGCGAATCAATAGTACAAGCAAGAGGGTTGCAGAAGTAATCTGAATATTACAAATATACGATGAATCTCCCAAGTTTGTGTTCCACAAACCGAACTAGTGGCAAAATTGGATTTCGCAAAATAATGTCAGCAAAATCCGACATGAGAACGGCTATTGAATAAATATGATTAAAAACATCCTAGGGTTAGCCTTAAGTCCAAAAATTGTTTCGAACTAGATAAGGTACGTGGATTGCGTTTACAATTCTGGACAACTCGGAAGGAATTTTGACATGAGGCAAATAATGTATGAAAGTGGACTCATAAGTTCTATAACAAATACACATAGGCTCTAAGAGAACTTCTGGATCAGCAGATATGTATGTTTAAAGTTGATATTGTCAGAAGACCCGAACTCACGAACAAAATTTATCTCTTGTCTATTATAGTTAAAAAATGATGATGAAGCATGAGAGGAGAATAGGGCAAGGCCTGATGTTGGTCCCCGATCCACCTCAGTGACCATGCGAACATTCCCTGCACATGTTCCACTTTGCTTCACCCATACGAGTACTTCTGCAACACACAACTCAATGTGTAGCATCCTTCGTTCAAATGCATGTCTACCATAATAAACATGCACCTTGAGTTCATTGATGATGTGTAACATAAATATGGTCATATCCGAGCAGATGATGTATTGATCACAACCCTATCCTCGAATCCAAACCCGAGCGCTTATCGTGCCACCATCGGAATGTATTTGCGAGAATCCCATCACGCACATGTTCACAAATTAAGTTTTACATCATGTCGTACTTTACTCTTGATGCTTTTCTATAAATACCCTGCTAGAGTGGAGGAAATCGTGATGATGTGAACCACCAACTTGTCCATCCACTGGCACCGATCAATGATCATCTACTAGTCAGTTTGAAGGATGCCAACTGATGAAACCCGTTACAAAAGAAAAAAAGAAAGACCATAATTTTCAAAAAAAAAAAACAAAGAAAGACCATGCTCAGCCTTGGGTACCTGATCTAAAGGAAAAATTAGGCGCCCATTATCCATTGTTGGGCACACGCTCTCTGCTAGGAGCATGTTTGGTTGCTTGACTACACTCAGCCTAGTGCAGGCAACTAAACAGGCATGCCCCCTCTTTGTTTCTCTATGCTACAATTTAAAAGGACACTACTTGTGTAGTTAGCTAGTTTCTCATCTTGTATCTTCCTCACTTTAAATGGTTTTTCTCCCAAACCACCTATCCTATTTACGATCTAATTATAATAAATATTTGTTTTGATTTAATATTTATAATAAGATCAAACACGACTATATTCTGATAAAAAATATATGTTTTAACTGTTAAAATTTGATGCTTCATTTATAAGAAACAAATGTTTTAACTAGAATTTAATTATGTTGCACATTTAAGTTTTTTGTTACAAGAATTTTTTCAATGTTGCACATGGTATTGTTTTAATGTGTCATTTAATGTTTACAAATATAACAGATTTGTATTTTTTTAATTGTTTCAGCAAATAGATTGGAATGTATCAATATTTACAACTCCATGTTTCACGTATGATATAAAAAAATGTTTCAATTAGGAATATATTATCACATATATTTTTTTCATCAGAAATATAATCATGTAAAATCTTGTTGTAAAGGTTTAGTTACAATGAATTCAACGGTGCAATTAGATTGTATATCGAATAAATTATTTAGGAGAAAAAATTATTTAAAATTTGATAAAGAAAGTTGTTTTTTGTTGAGAGAAAATTGATGTTGTGTAGCACATCATGCATGGAAAGGTTAAGGTAACAATGAGATGTTTTTTTCTTCGATATGTTAAAATCGGGCAGGGTACTAAGACAAATTCATCCAAGAACCACATTTGGCACTTTTATCAGGTTAGTATATGCCCTTCGATTTATTCGCAGAAAGAAGGGCTTACTGGTTCAAACCAAAATATAAGTTAAAAGGACCAATATCCTTCTTTGCTTATATGAATTGCAGTCAAGTACCGTAGCAGAGATTTTCTTTACAGTAAACACCACAATATTACAGCAGCAAAATATGGATTTCCAAATTCTTTGCTAGGACAATTAGTTTGGTGCTACAACAAAAACTGCTCCAGTAGCGCAAGCTCGGGAGAACGAGTAAATATAACTTGTTATATAACATACAAAAACTGTATAAGTAATTAAAGAAGCGCATATGAACCAACAATTTAAAGTCTCAAGGCAGCAATTGCTTCAGGCCTGAAGTCAATCCGAAGCCCTAACACCCTCCTAACCTCTGCTGGTGTCAAAAGCCATGTCAGATGCCCGGCATTGTCACCCCAGAAATCCAGTATCTCCGATACCCGCTCAAAATTCAGAATTGTTGACATCTGGGAAAGTCTTGAGAACTTGTCTCGGACTGGTCTCTGTGACATTTCCGAGAAATGGTTGATCAGGGAGCGTACCTCCTTGTCGAGCTGGAGCCCACCAAGCTGGCTGAACCTCTTCTGCATCATTATCACTTCAAGCCTCTTGACAATGAAGTCGATGATTAAGTGCACAAAGGAATCATAGTTGTTTGATGTCATCACGGGCTGGAGCCATGCAACATTAGTATTAACTGTAAGGAGAAGCTTCTGCACCCATGGATCATTCACCTCATTTTCTCCATATTCGGCATCATCCAGCTCATAACTGACAGTGGCAACAGTGTCCAGAACAGGACGAACACGGGGTGCCACAGATGCCACTAAATGCTCCAGTCCAGAATGAAGGATCTTCTTGAAGGAAGCACTGATCTCACCTAGCTCAGATAAACAGGATTTGATTTTCTCTCGGTCAGCAGGAGCATGAAAAGCCTGTTGAACAACAGGAATAGTCAGTACAGCTGGGTTGTCAACACGAAAATACTATGCTACGAACAAAGTGATTTTATCAGATAAGAGTGAAACTATTAGTTGTTTTTGGTGTAATTAAGGTATTTTGAAAGCTCATTGTAAAGTTTTAATTTGCCAGCAGGTTT